TTGATTGGTAATCGAGTAAATTTACACACACCATATAGTGATTAGATTCTCACCTCGTGTATACGTGTACGCTCAGGTGTGCGTGTGTGTGTGATCGTGGCTCGTGTGTATAATGTATACCATGCGATTGTTCTAAACCCAAAGGCTCTGCTTGGTGTGGGTAATTACCCTGAGGTTAGCATATAATGATAAACAAACCAGACGTGTACGTACAACAATATATATATATATCTCTATTTAATACTATTACCAATTTAAGTACAACAAACATACAAGGGATTTCGTCGTGTTAGATATGCAATAAGGTGCACGCCTTGCCGGCGTGGCTACAGCGGGTTAGTTACACTGTATCAACGGTCTATGTATCTTAGCTAGAGCTCCGTCTCTCTCTCACGTACAGAGTATGTTTCGTACTAACGTGTTTCTCACAGAACAACCAACAGAGTGGATGTGTATGAAAAACAGAGGGTAGCAACGTAGTAAATAAACAAAATACAATGCTTCAAGATAGTTTAAAGAGAGAGAGAGAATACGATAGAGCACTCATACAATAAGACCTATTGATACATACCAGATGTGTCGATGAAGTTCGAACTGCCTACTGGGTCTAGTAACACGGTATATATTCTAAATTTCAAGATCATTAGCCTGTTATCTGACGTCAGCATTGGCCTCGACACGCCCCCTTAGATGGCGAGTTTACTGGACGTTTGGAGTGGTCAAGTTGTCCGTTCTACTTGGCTGCATGGCATGGCACGACTAAACTCAATTGTCTCTAAGATTAATTGTTTCTAAAACCTGTCGTGACATTTCTAACATTCTATCCCTTTAGGCTAGCCAGTAGTTTTACGTTTTCCTTAATGACTTCCTTCTAATCAACTCTCCCTTTCATGATAACCTTTGCTTCATTACAACCATGAGAATCACTAGCTGTCTACATAGTCCTGTATATAAACATATAGTCCAGAGGTATTTAGAGATAATTGTTAAAAGAGAGCAATGGTGTAAAATTTTTAATGCGGATTCTATAGAGCTTGCATGGGAAATTTTTCAAAAATACCTTCTAGAGGCCATTGACACTGTCGCCCCTATTAAACAAGTTAGAATAAAACAATTAAAGAACTGAGCCATGGTTTGATAGCGAGATTAGGGAGCTTATTCTGGAAAGAGATAGAAAATTACTGCTTTATACGAGGAGTAAAGATGAAATTACATACAAGGATTTTAAATTGCTTAGAAACAAGTTCAAAATAAATTAAGAAAGCAAAGGCTAATTACTATTCGGAAAAGGTGAGGACCACAAAAATGACCCTAAAAAATTATGGCAGACTAGAGTATGGGGATGAAAAATAAGGGAACCGAGTACTTGGCGGGGGTGGGGCTAAAAATTGGGAAAATATATGTTTTTGACAAAGCAAATTGTTGCCAATAATATTTAATAAGTATTTCACAAAGTGTGGCCTCAAACTTGGTGAACGATCTACCACAAAGGAAGGGACGTAGATGAGATTAGTCTTTCAAAATTATTATAGGACAAAGTGCGTGTAGAAAATTCATTTACCTTTACAACGGTGGGAGAGGACCCGCAAAAATTTATAAAAGATGGATCAAACGTTATTTGCTCAGCTCTTACACATGTAATCAACATGTCATTCATCAAGGAAAAATCCCGATGACATGCCTAGCAAGGGTCATTCGATAATAAAAAGAATAGCAAAACAAACCCGGAAACTAT